ATTAAAAGAAGCAATTTATTTTCTATGCCTTTGCATGTGTTTGCTGTAAGTCGTTTTTTCGAAAGACAAAGAAACAAAAACACTCTTAAATTGAAAACAACGAATTTACTATAGACAGAAGGGAATTTAATTTTAACTGTCAACTAAATTTTCGGAAGAAGATTTAAATGTGCATATATTTGTTCAAAGAAAGCACATTATTACTTTTGTTTTTCGCACAGCATTTCCCCTGCGGCATAATGTTAACATCATTATGATTATGCAATTTATTGCCAATCATTTTAAATGGTGTAGATATGTTCTATAAGAAATTATTAGCCAGAACGAAATGGACTTTCTTCTCATTTGTTCAGTGAATAGAAAAATAGACTTTCGGATAAAAGCACATTTGTTGACAGTTGATATAATGTAATTAGAGTATTTTAAATTGAGAACATTTTTCATTTGATTATTTCATATATTTGTTCACTTTGAAATGTGTTGATGCATTCGAGGTTTCGATATAGTCGATTTGGATTTTTGCGAATGGGCCCTTCGATAATTTTTCTTTTCATTTTATACTTCCGAAAAAAATGTTGTACACATCTTGTATACAGGGGTATTGATCATAAAAAAACGAGATCGTGAAATTTTGCCGAACATGAAGGACGCCAACAGTATATAAGAAGTAATCTAAATGAAATAAGAACTACATAATTTGTGCTGCCATCTAGTCCCTTCCTTTCCATACACGTATTCAAAGTTTATGTAATTGTGTTTATAGCTAATGTAAAGCGTAACTCACAGGACACGAGAAGCAGATATAATCATCAAAATTGTATACGTGGAGTATAGGGTTGATTGTCATACAAATATTAAAGATATTCAGAGATTCATGTCTTCAACATGAATTTAAATCTATAAAATTCGTGTCCATCAAAGAATAAACTATTAAATTATAAATTTCACTTTTTTTCCAATTTGGCTTGGGGGTGGAGCTCTGCCATAAACCGCTAATGGAGGCAATGATGATGGGACACTGTTTTTGAAACAAATAATATTTGATTTTATTAAAATGTCATTGGTAAAATGAAATAATTGTACGAACCCTAATCCTTCATTCTTTCCAGCATTTGATGGCCTATAAAATAGAGATGAATTTAGTTCCAAGAAGCCCACTTATAAATTCCCTCGGATTGATAATTTTATTTTTATAAAATGAGTTTACTTACGAAACAAAGAGTGCCACGGCAATAATTGCGAAGGGCAAAGCAAAACGGGCGAACGACACCATTTCTTGACTTGTATTGGCTTGTGAACAAATTTTTGAACTGAATTTTCCTTTCCAAGGTATATTTATACTCGGGAATTTTTGCAATAGTCAAAGAAATGAATTCATGGAATACTGTAAGCAAATTAAAAATGACACGACACATATTGACGTCAATAATATAGTGTAAATACCGACTTATGTATGAGTAACAAAAAAAAAATTCAACTTTTTTCTACCTTGAACCGTTCTTAAGGTTCATGTGAGTTTTGTTGAAACAGTTGTATGGAAAATATTTTGCAACGCAATATTTTAATTTTTATTCGTTTCACGCATTTGGCAATAAGATCTAATAAGACCGTATTTCTTCATACTTTTTTCTATACTTGGTATAAATGTATGTATCATATATTTTTTTGTTTCAGCGTGTTTTTTTGCTTCAATGTAAAGATGCAACGTTCAGTCCACTGCTAAGTGGGTGCATGTTGTAGATGCGAAAAATAATTCATTAGTTTTAAGCAATTGTTAGATTTAAATTTCATTTTGAAACAAATAAATGTTGGATATTTTAAGGTCACCTTCGCTATCTCATATGCAGACAATATATTTGGATATTGTCACCCAGATATTTCAGCTCCCCTTGTTAACAATATGTAGATGTGATTATTTTAGATTAGACATTAGGTTTGAGCTATGGATATTGGATATAGCGGCTACTATTTTATAGCCGCTATTCATAGGCGCTATTTAACTCGCTATTTTAATGCTAATTATTTTCTACATCTCTCTCGTATTCACATTCAAATGTACAAAAAATAGTAGGCTATGGTATTCCTTTTCCGTGTTATTTTTTCAAAAACCAAAAATTCTTTAGCAAATCAAACAAATTTTCGTTTTTTTTTTTTTTTGGAAGTCACTTTTTGAGGCGAAAATCCCTAGCAAATCGAAAGAATTTTCTCCGCGAAAAACCTTAGCAAATCGGAAAAAAATCTCTCGGAACCAAAAACCCTAGCAAATTTAAAGAATTCTCCTCAATTTTCTACATTGATGAGCTTAAAAAAAGGTCTTCACATTTTTCATGAAAAACCCTAGCAAATTCGAATAATTTTCGCGAAAAAATTTTCCTCATCCAAATCACAGGGGGGGTAAACCACCCCCTACCCCTAACTAACTAGCGCGTCAAGTTTAAAATTGACGAGAGTCGATAACGCTATCCATCCAAATACATTGTGACGTTACACATCTTACACAGAAACGGCATCTTTGTAAAACAGGCTAACTACAATGTAAAAGTATAGCGAGAGGGGAAGGGAATGAATTAAAAGGGGAAACAGATACGTTTGATTTACATTGTAGTTAGCCGGTTATTAATAGATGGCGTTTATATAGTGTGCCCATATTGCGCTTGACTCTTGGAAATTGATTGAAAAGTCGCCCCATTAGTGTATTAGCTAGCTAATTTTACACACATTTCTATAAATTTCATGAAATATTCACACAGATCACGAATATTTTATCTATTAAAAAAAAATCGATTTTGATAATGCAGTATTTACATTTTTATTTTTGATATTAAGTTTTACAAAATTCATTGAAAACATTAATTGGATATTAACCGCTTGTGGGATTAATTTTCAAGAAGGAGAACAATAGGGGAGAGTCACGTAGGTTGAGACGGGTTTTGTTTTTTGGTCAATTTTTTTCACTCATACAATTTATCAAGGAAAGTTATATACCGTTGGAAAGGTACTGTTCCGGGCTACAGCTTTGCCCAAAGAAGTAGTTGTGTTTCTCCAAGAACACAAAAGTTTTGGTCAATTTTCCAAACATATGATTTTCGGCCCCCCAAAAATTTGGCACGTAGGTTGAGACACTATGAGTAATTGAAAATGGGTTGAATAAAATAAAGTTTAGACGCCATATTTTGAGTGGT